TGGCCAAGAGCTGAGTCATCCCTCCAGCGCGGAGGAGATCCCCCAAGGCCCCTCGGTTGCTGTTAAAAGGCAGTAGCAAGAGCGAGAGGCTGCGAAATGGCTCCACCGAGAGCTCGGCTTCTTAGGCGGCCTCGGCCTCCGAGGAAGCAGGGATGTTCGTCTCAGAGCACGAATTTCGCAGACATCTGGAGCCTGTGGCTTATTTCTCAATGGTTCCTTGGCCGTATTTCTCCTCCGTTTCGGAGATAAAGGCGGCGAGGGCGACCCCGTGGAGCGGGAGCCGCGGTGCTGGCCACCCTCCAGCCAGCCCGGCCAGAGGAAACCGCGGCCCCGCTCTGTGCCGCCGCCAAAGCAAATAGAAATGGGGCGTTAAACAATGCCGGGCGCTAACTGGGGGAGATGTTGGCCGCCGGCGTCGCTGCTGCGGATGGGCTCCTCGTCTCCAGGAGAGTTTCCAGTGGCATCTCTGCCTCCTCTCTCCCGTGCCCAGCCAAAACCCTCCTGTTGGGCAGCCTGAAGGCTTCATCCACCCTCCTCCTCCTCCTATCCAGCCCCTCCGGGGAGGCAGGGCCATCCTGCACACCTTGGGAGTGCTGGGGCCAGGGCAGGGACTTGCTGGGTGCTGAGGGAGGAGAGAGGCATGAAGGGTAAGGAAGAGGAGATGCCCAGCTTGCAGCAGCCCTCCTGCTTCACCGTGGGCTTGCTGGAAGGATTTGGCTTAGTCATTCATCCCTTCCCTTGCTGGTAGGCTGAGCCACTGCTGAAAATATCCTGGAAGGCTCCCAAGCGGCACAGAAGGCAAGAAAATGAGAAACACATGAAGGAAGGGATGGGAAAGGAAGGGAAGGGGAGCGGGTGCTCTCGGCGTCCAGAGTGGGGTTTGGGGTGGGTGGCCCTGGCTGCCCGCCTCCCTGCTGGGGCCAGAGCAGGGACACCCCATCACAGCCATCCCGGCAGCGCCTTTGGGGAGGGGGCTGCGCCCTTGGTGGGTGCTGGGGTGATGCTGATGCTCCGCAGCGGTGTCTGTCCCCGAGCAGTGGCCTTGGCGGGGCTGGGGACGCTGCCCTTCCCGCAGGCGCTTCAGGGCGCGCTCGTAGGAAATTGCTCACCCCGAGAAAATGCGTTCCCGGCAGCTCCACATCCTTTTGGCCTTTGGGAAGGGCTGCTGCCCTGACCTTTTGGCCAGCACACGAGAAGCCCAGCGGCACTCCGGCCACTCGCCGCGGGGCTTTGGCCGGTCTTTTAGCACTTCGCTTTTAGCATTTGCGTAGGCTCCCAAGGCGTGAGGTTGGTGCCTTGCTGCAGGCTGTGGTTGTGTCCGGCGGGTCGGGATCTGCACAGCTTCTGTCGGCTGCTGCCATCTCGTGTTGCTCCATAAATCAGTCCCCAGATGGGGCCTGGCCACTGGACTTGCCATGGGGTTATGGTGGGCTGGCATGTCCCCGCTGATGCTGGGTTTGCTTTCCTGCCCGCTCGGAGCTGAGCATGCCGGAATTTGGGGCGAGGGGCCGGGGGACATGTGCTGGCCCCTTCACTGCCCGCTGCCTCTTTGAGCCAGGGGCCAAAACCATGTGAGCTGCAACCTGAGACCTGCCGAAGCCCTTGGAGAAATTCCTTTCCGGTATGGTCACTGCAGCGGGGCAGGAGGAGAGGTCCTGAGTGCCCCTGGGCGTCCCCTGGGCTTTGCCATCTGTCCACCTGGCGTGCAGAGGTGCAGCTCAGCGTCTCGGCAGGGGCCGTGCTGGGTCCCCATCACCCCTGGACTATGGCATCCCCCCCGTGTACTCCAGCCCCGGAGCATCCCTCCAGCCTTCCCCCAGCTGCCGGAGAAGGGGTTGGGATGCTGAGGGATACCTGGAGGAAGGGCTCCCGGTCCTGGACGGGGCGGGCTGGGATCCCATGTCCCCGCTGAGCCCCCCTAACCCCCCCCTTTCCTCCCTGCCCAGGTCCCTCCCGCCGCGCCAGCCTCTCTGAGAAGGAGCTGAAGGAGGCGAAGGCGCGGAGCCGGAGGATTGCGGCGCAGCTCACCACGGTGCCTGGCCCCAGCTCCAAGGGCGTCCTGCTCTTCAACCGCCGCAAGCAGCGCGCTGCCGGGCCCCCCGCGGGCG